GCCCTTCCCACTGCAACCCAGCACTGGAAAACATACCCTACACACTCAATTTTACTCAATTCACCTACAGCGCATGTGTTTGGGCTGTGGGGGAAACCGGAGCACCCAGAGGAATCCATCGCCAATGCAGGGAGAAAATGCAAATTTCCATGGGTTCAATGGATGTTATTGGCTTTATATGGAAAAATCATTTTAATAAATAATCTTTATTTTAAGAGTTAAGCACCCTGAAAAAAAAATGATTCATTGGATTTACTAAATCTTTTAAAGGTAAGTGGTTGCAAACAATTTATACGGGCTGAATTTAAACAAATCAATTAAACAGTAATGTTCAATTTAATTTGTTTGTTTCAATTCAGCCCATACGAACCTTAGACTATTTAGTAAATCCAATATACGTAAAAAGCAGCATTACACGGCGACAACACAGAATTGACCTTTAATATGTCAAAGCGTGCTGCTTCTGACCCTGAATAGTGGTGAAATGTTTCTCCTCCACAGCTGAAGCCCAGCGTGTCATATGAATGCACATACTGGTCAAATGTCAATTAAACAATCAAACACGAGTGTCAATCTGATCGCCCGAGGGTTTCATGTGCAGGAAGAAATCACTGCTGAGTTCTGCCAGCAAATCAATAACAAGCCAAACGGGCAATACTCAAACATCACACTCATAAAACGTTTCCACATAATGCAATTCATTAACCGACACACTACCCCAAATATATTACTCGCTGCAGCTCTCATGATCACATCCGCTTTCCTTTCACAAGGACACAAACCAAGTATATTTATTATAATATTCACCTATTTTTGTGGGTGTTTGTGTTGATTTACCCAATACAGGCTATGCATTCTTAATTGTTTCCACATAATGCAATTCACAAACCGACACACTACCACCAATATGCTACTCGCAGAGCGAGAGGGAAGTCCGAGTTCAGGTAGGTCTCGAGAACTCCCCTGCTTGATAATGTTGTCAATTTAGATTTGTCAATTTACTTATGTTACATGTTTTTGGTCTGTGGGAGGAAACCGGAGAGCCCGGTGAAAACCCACGCGAACACAAGGAGAACATGCAAACTCCGCACAGAAGCGCCGACCTGGCCAGGTAGTGTCTGAGCAGGTGACATTCTTGCTGTGCGGCCGTGGTGCTAACCACAAGGCCTCCGCGCTGCCCTGACAAGGAAATGGGAGGAGTAGGGGTGGAAGGGGGGATTCTTCAAGACGATGGCTGAAGTAAGATATTCTGGTTATTTATAGTGGTCTGATTGGTAAATCAGTGTTAGCTAATGTGGGCCAGGTGCTATCAATCATAAGCGCGCGCTCCTCTCGAAATTAGTTTATAAATAAACTTCACTAAAAAAAAAAACAATATGATCAATTTATCTTTGGACTTAAAAATAAGTGAAAATGCTTTTGGCATTTAAACATAACTAAGAATTTTACGCTGAAAATAATTGACAGAACAAAAATAACTAAATAGTTTTTGCCTAATGTAAATTGAAGCATCATATCAGTTAAGCATTTCCCTTTTAAGTAGTCAAAGACTGCTGAACCTCTGTCTGAAAGGCACTAATGTGCACGCAAACCATGTGCCTCCATTGGAAATAACGAACTTGTACGCGTAAATGTGAATGGCCCTTAGTTAAAAACCTCCTCAGCCATAGTTAAATTAGCATTTGATTAAATGTGCGTGCGTAGTATGTAAAAGCTCAGAACTTTAAACAAGCGCACAGTTGGCATAACTTTAAGTTGCAGCAGTTTTGGTCCATGCAGAAACACAGCGTTGAGAAGCCTTTACGATTAATTAACGATGACAAATTAAACCGCGGTTAATAGTGAAAATGGTTAATCGTGCAACCCTAGTCTTATGATAATTCTGTATCAGTTATCGTCTTACGAGGATACAAACCACAAAGCATGTTTACGATCATATTCAGCTATTCTTTGTGGGTGTGTGTTCATTTACACAACATATGCATTGTTAAACACACAAAATGCAACGTTTCCACATAATGCAATACATTAATTAACACACTGACTATCCCAAATGCTGCAGGTCTCATGATAATATCTGCTATCCTTTCACAAAGATAAAAAACCAAGATGTGTATTTATGATCATATTCAGTTATTCTTTGTGTGTTCGTGTTGATTCACACAACAAATACATTGTAAAACACACATGATGCAACGTTTCCACATAATGCAATACATTAAACGACACACTGACTACTCCAAATATACCTGCAGCAGGTCTCATCAGAATATCCATGATCCTTTCACAAGGACACAAGGACCTAGTATATTTATAACAATATTCACCTAATTTTGTGGATGTTTGTGTTGATTCACGCAACATAGGCTTGCTAAACACAAGTAATGCAACGTTTCCACACAATGCAATTCATAAACCGACCAATATACTAATTGCTGCAGGTCTCATGATAACTCATATTAATATACTTGATCCTTTTACAAGGATACAAACCAAGATGTGTATTTATAATCATATTCAGCTATTCTTGGTGGGTGTGTGTTCATTTACACAACAAATGCATTGTTAAACACGCGTAATGCAACGTTTCTACATAATATAATACATTAATCGACACACTACCCCAAATATACCTGCTGCAGGTCTCATGATCATATCTGTTATCCTTCCACGGTATATCTCTTATAATGTTAACCTATTTCTGTGGGTGTTTGCTTGTGTTGATTCACACACCATAGACTATAAATTGTTAAACACGCATAATGCAATGTTTCCACATAATGCAATTCATAAACAGACACACTACCACCAATATACTGCTCGCTGCAGATTTTATGATGATTCATAATAATATACATTATCCTTTCACAGGGATACAAACCAAGATGTATGTTTATGATCATATTCGGCTATTTTTGTGGGTGTGTGTTAATTTACACAACATATGCATTGTTAAACACACATAAAGCAACGTTTCCCCATAATGCAATAGATTAACTGACACACAGACTACCCTAAATATACCTGCTTTAGGTCTCATGATAATTCAGATTAATATACATTATGCTTCCTCAAACCAAGATGTATATTTATGATCATTTTCAGCTATTCTTTGTGGGTGGGTGTTGATTTACACAACAAATGCATTGTTAAACACACATGATGCAACGTTTGCACATAATGCAATACAACAATCGACACACTGACTACCCCAAATATATTACTTGCTGCAGGTCTTATGATCACATCCATTATCTTTTTACAAGGATACAAACCTGGGCTATTTATTATAATATTAAACTATTTGTTCGGCTGTTTGTGTTGATTCAAACAGCATTTATACATTGTTAAACACACATAATGCAACGTTTCCACATAATGCAGTTCATAAACAGACACACTACCACCAATATACTACTTGCTGCAGGTCTTATGATAACTTACATTAACATACATCATCTTTCCACAAGGATACAAACCAAGATGTGTGTTTATGATCATATTCAGCTATTCTTTGTGGGTGTTTGTGTCGATTCACACAACAAATGCATTGTTAAACACACATAATGCAACGTTTCCACTTAATACAATTCATAAACAGACACACTACCACCAATATACTGCTCACTGCAGATTTTATGATGATTCATAATAATATACATTATCCTTTCACAGGGATACAAACCAAGATGTATGTTTATGATCATATTCGGCTATTTTTGTGGGTGTGTGTTAATTTACACAACATATGCATTGTTAAACACACATAAAGCAACGTTTCCCCATAATGCAATAGATTAACTGACACACAGACTACCCTAAATATACCTGCATTAGGTCTCATGATAATTCAGATTAATATACATTATGCTTCCTCAAACCAAGATGTATATTTATGATCATATTCAGCTATTCTTTGTGGGTGGGTGTTGATTTACACAACAAATGCATTGTTAAACACACATGATGCAACGTTTGCACATAATGCAATACAACAATCGACACACTGACTACCCCAAATATATTACTTGCTGCAGGTCTTATGATCACATCCATTATCTTTTTACAAGGATACAAACCTGGGCTATTTATTATAATATTAAACTATTTGTTCGGCTGTTTGTGTTGATTCAAACAGCATTTATACATTGTTAAACACACATAATGCAACGTTTCCACATAATGCAATTCATAAACAGACACACTACCACCAATATACTACTTGCTGCAGGTCTTATGATAACTTACATTAACATACATCATCTTTCCACAAGGATACAAACCAAGATGTGTGTTTATGATCATATTCAGCTATTCTTTGTGGGTGTTTGTGTCGATTCACACAACAAATGCATTGTTAAACACACATAATGCAACGTTTCCACATAATACAATACATTACCTGACACACTGACTAACACAAATCTATTACTTGCTGCGGTTCTCATTATAATATCTGTTATTCCTTCACATGGATACAAACCTAGTATATTTCTAATAATATTTAGTTATTTTTGTGAGTGTTTGTGTTGATTCAAACAACATATGCTATGCACACTACCACCAATATACTAGCCTACTTGCTGCAGGTCTCATGATAATTCATATTAATATACTTGATCCTTTCACAAGGATACAAACCAAGATGTGTATTTATGATCATATTCAGCTATTATATGTGGGTGTGTGTTGATTTACACAACAAATGCATTGTTAAACACACATAATGCAACGTTTCCACATAATGCAATTCATTAAACGACACACTACTACCCCAAATATACTTGCTGCAGCTAGGTCCCATGATCATATCCGTTATCCTTTCACAAGGACTTCCCAAATACAAACCTGGCATATTTATTATCATATTCAGCTATTTGTTGACGGTGTGTGTTGATTCACACAACAAATGCATTGTTAAACACACACACAAACACAAGCAAATAAACAGAAATGCCTTCTGTCACATTAAACCGCTCCATATGGCGGAGAATATTTACCTATAGGAGATCTGCTTCCTGAACGCCAGACCTTTGAGTTTATCCTCCAGCGAGTCATCCATGTCGGCGAAGCTGCTCAAGCTGTCGCTGCCGCCCATCGCCGCGTTTTTCCCGCAGCCGCGCGTCTGATCTTCCGCCGATTCCCCACCGGCGGCTCCTCTGCCGCTGCGCTCCGCCCGAGACGCTCGCATGTCGGCTAGGGGGTCCATCATGCTCCGGTCGGCACCGAGTGGACCCCCTTCTCCCCTCTGGTGCTTAGAAGTCCTTCCAAATCCAGTGTCCTCCGATGTCCCTCATGTGTCGAACAATATCTATCTATCTATCTATCTATCTATCTATCTATCTATCTATCTATCTATCTATCTATCTATCTATCTATCTATCTATCTAAACAGTCGACCGATCGATTTATTCTCGATTTACGCGCAGTCACGCGCACGCACGGTCGGCGCGGCTCTATCCATGCAGAGCTACAACAACAGCTGCATGCATCGGCGGGGACAGTATGGGATTTGCCTCCTCATCCTCCAGCATCAGGCGGTGAAAGTAGGGCAGAGGGTCTCCGGTTGGACACACACGCGTGCGGATCTCTGACGTGTCCGCGGTGACCGGGACTGAAAGATGCCCCAGTGGAGACGAGCCGCCGCCGGAGCACTGCTGTTTACGCGAGCCTTTAAACCGGACACGATTGTCTTTTACAATGCCTTCGTTCAGACAGGACGCTCACGAGACACTGAGAGCGTACACATAAATAAATAAATATTTCTGAAATAATAAACATATTTTTGTTAGATTATTTTGTGTTTGTAATTTGTTTTGTTGTCAGGAACCAGTAATATTATCAGGTTGGCCACGCCCCCTAACAAAAACCTACTGTTGTAATATTATGATAAAGCCTATTTTAATATTGTATTATATGATATGGAATTGTAGTATATTAAATTATGTGATGGAATACGAGGACGAAACCTGAAAAAAAAAAAAACAATAAATAAATACAGGTAAACAAATAAATCCAAAAATGTATGCATAATTAAAGCAATAAATAAATAAACAAATAAATCCACACATTTCTGCATAATTAAAACAATACATAAATAAAGAAATCCACAAATACCTGCGTATATAAAACAATAAATAAATAAATCCACAAATTCCTGCATAAATAAATCAGTAAGTTGATTAATTAGTTATTAAATCCACAAATTCCTGCATAAATAAAAGAATAAGTTGATTAATTAATTATTAAATCCACAAATTCCTGCATAAATATAACAATAAATAAATAAATATGCAAATAAATAAATAAACACACAAATTTCTGCATGAATAAAACAATAAATAAATAAATAAATCCACAATGTTTATGCATAATTAAAATAATGATTAAATAAATATGAATAAATACATAAATCCACAAATTCCTAAATAAATAAAACAATTAATCTTTTTTAATTAATTAATTAATTTATTAATTTATTTATTTTGGACATAATGATCATTGATCAATGATCATTATCATAAAATATTTACTTGACAGGGAAACATTTGGGTGAGCAAAAATACATATAATAAAAAGTATTTGATTGAAAAAAACAAAATTATTTTATTATTACGGTATTATTTATTGCTCTTACAACTGGGATCCACGACAAGACTTTCGTCAGGTAGTGTATAATAAAAAAAAAAAATCTGCCATTACAAAGCAATACATTTATGCCAGGGTTAACATGGATATTTATTCACTTGTAAAAAAAATATGTAATGTTAGAAAACCATGAAACTCTGCAGCAAAGTGGGTTTAAAGGGCAGATCCGTCATGAGTCTAGAAAGCACATGCATTTTTCCTCTAATATGATTTAAGCTAATGCAATTTAAAGCATGAACTACTTCATCCATCTCTCTGATGTGGAGAAAACACCTTTTTTTTTCCAACAGAAAACCCTGAAGAGAAGGAAAATAATAATGTAGAGCTTGTCTTAAAGGGACAGTTCAGATAAATATATAAGTTTAAAGTTTATTTAACTCAGGATATCTAAAATGTAGATGACTTTTTGACTTCACAAGAATGTTATAAGATTTTATTTTAGCTTAATTTACTTTTAGAGTAAAAACAACAACACTCAGACAACATAAAATTAATACTCATGATGTCTGATAATGTAAACACGTGTGTAATGCATCAAGCATCAAAATAACAGCAAAGAGATGTGATTTACACCAGCAGAACTTTTAAAACATGTATAGCTTAAATAATACCCTTTTAGAGCTAAAAATAAACATACAGGCAACATTAATACATATGACTCCTAATCATGTAAATATGGTTATATTAAAATAATAATGTAGAAGAAGCATCAAATTGACAGCTTGGGGATGCAATTTACTCCAGCAGAATGTTAAAAAATTTCTATTATCTCAAATGTATATTACTTTAAGAGTTAAAAACACACCCACAGGCAACATAAATTAATACATATGATTCCTAATCATGTAAATATGGCTAAATTAAAATAGAAATGTAGAAGAAGCATCAAAATGACAGCTAGGAGATGTTATTTACTACAGCGGAACAGTAAAGATCTTTTTTTTTTAGCTATAATTATTTACTTTTAGAGTTAAAACACACACACAGGCTAGATAAAATTAATATGTATGACTCCTAATTATGTAAATACAGGTAAAGTTAAATAACAATGTAGAAGAAACATCAAAACGACAGCTAGGAGATGTGCTTTACTCCAGCAGAACATTAAAGATTTTGTTCAGCTTAAATGTATATCACTTTTAGAGTTAAAAACCCACAAATGCAACATAAAATTAATACGTATGACTCCTAATCATGTAAATATGGCTAAAATAAAATAACAATGTAGAAAAAGCATCAAAATAACAGCAAAGAGATGTGATTTACTCCAGCAGAACAGTAAAAAAAAGTTTAGTTAAAATAATTCACTTTTAGAGTTAAAAAAAACAACATACACGCAACATAAAATTAATACACATGACTTTAATCATGTAAATACAGCTAAAGTTAAATACTAATGTAGAAGAAGTATAGAAAAACGACAGCTAGGAGATGTGATTTACTCCAGCAAAACATTAAAGATTTTGTTCAGCTCAAATGTATATCACTTTTAAAGTTACAAACAACATACAGGTAATATAAAATGAATACGTATGACTCTAAATCATGTAAATATGGATAAATTAAAATAATACAGTTTAAGAAGCATTGAAATGACAGCTCGGAGATATGATTTACTCCAGAAGTACGTTAAAAGATCTTTTTTTTAGCTCAAATAATTCACTTTTAGAGCTAAAAAAAAACCCATGCAGGCAACATAAAATTAATATGTATGACTCCTAATCATGTAAATATGGTTATATTAAAATAAAATTGTAGAAGAAGCATCAAATTGACAGCTTGGGGATGCAATTTACTCCAGCAGAATGTTAAAAGATTTCTACTATCTCAAATGTATATTACTTTAAGAGTTAAAAACACACCCACAGGCAACATAAATTAATACATATGATTCCTAATCATGTAAATATGGCTAAATTAAAATAGAAATGTAGAAGAAGCATCAAAATGACAGCTAGGAGATGTTATTTACGACAGCAGAACAGTAAAGATCTTTTTTTTTTAGCTATAATTATTTACTTTTAGAGTTAAAACACACACACAGGCTAGATAAAATTAATATGTATGACTCCTAATTATGTAAATACAGGTAAAGTTAAATAACAATGTAGAAGAAACATCAAAACGACAGCTAGGAGATGTGCTTTACTCCAGCAGAACATTAAAGATTTTGTTCAGCTTAAATGTATATCACTTTTAGAGTTAAAAACCCACAAATGCAACATAAAATTAAGACATATGACTCCTAATCATGTAAATATGGCTAAAATAAAATAACAATGTAGAAAAAGCATCAAAATAACAGCAAAGAGATGTGATTTACTCCAGCAGAACAGTAAAAAAAAGTTTAGTTAAAATAATTCACTTTTAGAGTTAAAAAAAACAACATACACGCAACATAAAATTAATACACATGACTTTAATCATGTAAATACAGCTAAAGTTAAATACTAATGTAGAAGAAGTATAGAAAAACGACAGCTAGGAGATGTGATTTACTCCAGCAAAACATTAAAGATTTTGTTCAGCTCAAATGTATATCACTTTTAAAGTTAAAAACAACATACAGGTAATATAAAATGAATACGTATGACTCTAAATCATGTAAATATGGCTAAATTAAAATAATACAGTTTAAGAAGCATTGAAATGACAGCTCGGAGATATGATTTACTCCAGAAGTACGTTAAAAGATCTTTTTTTTAGCTCAAATAATTCACTTTTAGAGCTAAAAAACCCATGCAGGCAACATAAAATTAATACGTATGACTCCTAATCATGTAAATATGGATAAAATAAAATAACAATGTAGAAAAAGCATCAAAATAATAGCAAAGAGATGTGATTTACTCCAGCAGAACAGTAAAAAAAAGTTTAGTTAAAATAATTCACTTTTAGAGTTAAAAAAAACAACATACACGCAACATAAAATTAATACACATGACTTTAATCATGTAAATACAGCTAAAGTTAAATACTAATGTAGAAGAAGTATCAAAAACGACAGCTAGGAGATGTGATTTACTCCAGCAAAACATTAAAGATTTTGTTCAGCTCAAATGTATATCACTTTTAAAGTTAAAAACAACATACAGGTAATATAAAATGAATACGTATGACTCTAAATCATGTAAATATGGCTAAATTAAAATAATACAGTTTAAGAAGCATTGAAATGACAGCTCGGAGATATGATTTACTCCAGAAGTACGTTAAAAGATCTTTTTTTTAGCTCAAATAATTCACTTTTAGAGCTAAAAAACCCATGCAGGCAACATAAAATTAATACGTATGACTCCTAATCATGTAAATATGGATAAAATAAAATAACAATGTAGAAAAAGCATCAAAATAACAGCAAAGAGATGTGATTTACTCCAGCAGAACAGTAAAAAAAAAGTTTAGTTAAAATAATTCACTTTTAGAGTTAATAAAAACAACATACACGCAACATAAAATTAATACACATGACTTCAATCATGTAAATACAGCTAAAGTTAAATACTATTGTAGAAGAAGTATCAAAAACGACAGCTAGGAGATGTGATTTACTCCAGCAAAACATTAAAGATTTTGTTCAGCTCAAATGTATATCACTTTTAAAGTTAAAAACAACATACAGGTAATATAAAATGAATACGTATGACTCTAAATCATGTAAATATGGCTAAATTAAAATAATACAGTTTAAGAAGCATTGAAATGACAGCTCGGAGATATGATTTACTCCAGAAGTATGTTAAAAGATTTTTTTTTTTAGCTCAAATAATTCACTTTTAGAGCTAAAAAAACCCATGCAGGCAACATAAAATTAAGACATATGACTCCTAATCATGTAAATATGGATAAATTTAAATAATAATGTAGAAGACGCATTAAAATATAGCTAGGAAAGGAGATTTACTCCAGCAGAATGTTAAAAATTTATTTGAGCTTGAATGCAATTCACTTTTAGAGTTAAAAATCACTCATACAGGTAACATAAAATGAATACGTATGGCTGCTAATCATGTTAATTTGGCTAAATTAAAATAACAATGTAGAAAAAGCATCAAAATGACAGCTCGGAGACGTGATTTACAATGCTTTTACTAAGGAAAATATTTATTTGCTTTGCAGAAAACAGGACAAAAAAAAACAAAACAAGGCAGAGTGATTTCAGGAAGATCATTTTAAGAGCCCGAAACTGTGACGCAATGAAAATGTAACGTAATTAAGACACACTGCATCTTATAAGAGCAAAAAACACATCATTAAACACTGACAAATGTGTCACATCAGGACCAATCCACCTCCTTCAAAATGCTCTTGTTTGCAGGACTGAAGAAGTATTGCAGGCATGCTTAAAAAAAAAAAGAAGTAATAAATAACAGTTCAATGGGGGACGCAGTGCAAGTGAGTTGGGATGCACATGGCTTGTCAAAAGCGTTCATATCTGGCCCAGCGAACACCAGATTTTTCAGCGAGCGTCTTTTACTCCCAAAAGAGCGCAGACGGGGGTTTGGATGGTGGCCAGATGAGGACAAAAAGGGCCATCTGTCCTTTAAAGACCTTAAACCGAATAAAAAAGGGAGCGCGGGCTGGAGAGCATCCGTTCCTTTTCATGTCACGTCCATATTGTGGCTCTTTTTTGACCAACATCTCAATCACACAATTCGTTTCTCTCCCAACATACTTACAACGGCGCAAATATTTACATATTCAGACAAGTTTGTACTGTAAACAGAGGGCTTTTAGCCAATTGTTTTCATCTTTGGATTTTGATTGACATGCTACATACGACAGACAGATTTCATATATTACCACACATATCCTCAGTAGCATGGGGCAAACAGGCAAATAATTAAAAATAATGAAAACCTTAAAAGAAATAAATCAAGGTATATGTTAATATATAAAAAGAACAGTGTATATGAAGTATCAAAATGGACTATGGAATGGAGTAAAAATATATTTGTCTTTTTTTTTTGTGCTGGGCAAAGATTAGTCGTAATTAATCACATCCAAAATAGAAGTTTGTTTTAATACAATACAATAATTGTTTTAATGTGTGTGAATTATATATATTTGTTATGTATATGTGATTGACAAACATACATACAATCAATACTGTTTTGTTGCATAGATATTTTCCGTTAACATATAATTTGTATCATATACATATATATTTTATATCCATTTATACCGTGGCTGGTAAGGCTTAATGTGCTGCAATTTAGAAAAACATATGCAATTACAAAAACACTAGCAAATTAAGAATAGCAATTAATTTTCAATTAAATTTAAAATTTTAATTTAAATTAATCTTAATCAATTTTCCCACAACACAAACAAATAAAATGTGAGAGAAAATGTAGCGCATTTTCTTAAATTGTTTGCGTTGTGTGAAAATGCATCGCTTTTTCGTAATTTGTTTGTGTTGTGGAAAAAGTCAGCGTTTTCTTACTTTGTTTGCGTTGTGTGAAAACATATTTGCATTTTTGCAATGTGATTGCATTTTGAGAAAATATAGCGTTTTCTTAATTTGTTTGTGCTGTGAGAAAATGTACCGTTTTACAATTTGTTTGCGTTGTGAAAAAATGTAGCGCGTTTTCTTCATTTGTTTGTGTTTTGAGAAAGTGCAGACATTTTTTACATTTGTTTGCATTTTGACAAAATGTAGCGCGTTTTCTTCATTTGTTTGTGTTGTGAGAAAATGCAGAGCATTTTTAAATTTGTTTGCCTTGTGAAAAAATGTAGCACGTTTTCTTAGTTTGTTTGCGTTTTGAGAAAGTGCAGACCTTTTTTAATTAGTTTGCGTTTTGTGAAAATGTAGTGTTTTCTTCATTTGTTTGCGTTTTGAGAAAATGTTGCACGCTTTCTTAATTTTTTTGCGTTTAGAGAAAGTGCAGACATTTTTTTAATTAGTTTGCGTTGTGAAAAAATGCAGTGCGTTTTCTTAATTTGTTCGCATTGTGTGAAGATGTAGCACGCTTTCCTGATTTGTTTGCGTTGTGAGAAAATGTAGCAAATTTTCTTCATTTGTTTGCGTTGCAAGACAATGTAGCTGTTTTATTAATTTGTTTGCGTTGTAAAAAATTGTAGCACGTTTATTTAGTTTGCGTTGTGAGAAAATGTAGTGCCTTTACTTCATTTGTTTGCCTTGAGAAAAAATGTAGCGCGTTTTCTTAATTTGTTTGCGTTGCGAGAGTGCAGAGCATTTTCTTAATTAGTTTGTGTTGTGCGAAGATGTAGCGCATTTTCTTGATTTGTTTGTGTTGTGAGGAAATGTAGCACATTTTATTAATTTGTTTGCGTTGTGAAAATTTGTAGCGTGTTTACTTCATTTGTCTGCGTTGTGAGAACACGCAGCACTTTTTTTATGTCTATATGCATTGTGAGGATTTGCGGCACGTGTGCTGTCAAACCAATGAACTTTTCTTAATTTGCTAGCATTATTTGTAAGTGCATCTACTTTCTTAAATTGCAGCACGTTAAGCTCTCTCATCCACTGTAAAATTAACATTTTTAAAAATTCTCAAATATATACCTAGCACACGCATATATTAAGTCAAAACAAACTTTCATTTTGGATGCAATTAATCTTTGCCCAGCTCTATTTATTTTTCTGGTTTATTAAATAAAAAAGGACTAAGTAAAATAATAATTAAAGAGATAGTTCACCCAAAAACGACTCATTTATTGATTATACTTGTGTTCGAGTTTCTGTTGAACGTAAAAAAAAAAGAAACATACTGAAGAATGTTAGAATTTGCTAGCTATTAAGTACAATAGCATTTTTACAATAGAAGTCAATGGCTGCTGGTTTCCATCATAAACATTTTGTAAATATTCTCCTCTGCATTTTAACTTTTTGAGGTGAACTATCTTTTATAAAGCATGTCTATAAATACAGAGCCTATCGCCCCAGCGCAGTAGATCTTAATCTCATGACGTCTCGTTGACAGTCCTGTCCAACTGTATGACTTTTGCTGTCTCATTTGACCTGCGAATATATAAAATGCATTATTAATCGACATCAACACTGATTATCCAATCAGAAGTGGCAGTAGAAGGGGAAAGGGGCGGTACCTGTGCGTGTGGAGGTCTATGAGAATGGCTTTTTGCGCATGTGTTTCATTGGTGCTGAGTAAAAGTGGGCGGTGCTCTGCTTTGTGTAGCTCCGCCTCTTCTTCCTTGTGCTGCTGCTCGAAGCGCCAGGCTGCCATTACGTCAGCCTGACGATCCCATTCTGGATATTCACCTCCCAGACCGATGGGGTGAGGCTCGTCCAGACCCCCGGGCTCCTGAATGGACAACAGGCTCCGGGACTTCACTGCAGAAAACAATCAACAGATACATTTTTAAATATATTTATTATATGAATAATAGATATACAAGGCGGCACGCTGGCTCAGTGGTAAGCACTGTCACCTCACAGCAAGAAGGTCACTGGTTCCAGCACCGGCTGGGCCAGTTAGCTTTCTGTGTGGAGTTTGTATGTTCTCCCCATGTTGGGTGGGTTTCCTCCAGGTGTTCCGGTTTCTCCCACAGTACACAGATATATGCTATAGATGAACTGGATGAAGTAATTTGGATGTAGTGTATGAGAGTGTGTGTGAATGTAAGTGTGTATAGGTGGTTCCCAGGATTGGGGTGGCAGCTGAAATATTAACTTAATATTTTTAGCCTGTTTGATTGATGCTTGATGATTGAAGTTAAGAAAAGTTCATTTGATTCAACTCAAAAATATAATGCAGCAAGATTTTTTAAAAAGTGTAGTAATTGAGTAAAAAGTGAGTAAACGGGTTACCTTAAAAAGACAAGGTGACTTGAGTAAAATCAAAAGTGAGTAATCTTATTATATCATGGAACTGTAAAGGAGAATTAATTGTTATAATTATGCACATAGATCATTTACTTAATCATTTTAAAGCAATGACTTTATGAGCTTACTCACTTTAAGCAAAGTCAACTAATCGATTTGCACACTTGATAATAAATTGAATAATTTGTCTAAATATTGTTTATTTGTCAAACAAAATTACATTTTTGTTTTATAAAATTCTAAAATA